ACCACTTGACGAACTTCCTTCAGTTTTCAAGCGAAACCATATAACAAAGTACGTTTATGTATTCGTTACAATTTGTGTGATGGCTTCGAATCACTGGGTCATCGACATCGAAAAATACGGTAAAAAACGATGATCACAATTCGAGCATACTTATTAGGTTAATATATTGTTGGATTATTAGACACAATTCGGGTCGGGCCACGTTATGATAAAAATGGGTTTTATGATTTTAACACTCCTTTAACACGTGAAGCTGGGAAGGAGACATCCTTTCCTAAAAGCCTGCATCAGAATATGACAAGTTACCCACTACGGTAAAGTATAAATCCGAGTGTGAACAAAGAAGGCACGTACTGAACTTCGTCAACGAAATGCACCCATTCAGGAATTAAATGGTCACCGGTCGTAGAGAGAGTAGTGTCGTGGTCGTGGTCAGCTGCAGAGCTAAGGGGAATCAGGGTCAACCGGTCCTCGGCAACAGCGGTCGGTTCGTCGACGTCAAAAACATGCCGATTTTGGATGGCGTTGTTGCGTAGCATGACGAAGATGTCTGTCAGACTGCGACTGGTGCCACAATGCTGCTGATGATTGATGACGTAGGTTCCCATGGCCACAAGGTACTAACTACACCTTGATCAACGAATCCAACGAACCGTATCAGACTTCGCAATCGCGGTACGCAAGTAGTAATATTTGATTGACTGTATTGAATACATGTTTAGATTGATTCTGTCCTGAAAATCATTTTCTTTTGTAAGCTTGCGGTAGCATTGTCGAGAGGTTGGTTGGATTGCTTCTGTTAATTGAAGAATTTGTTTCTTTCGCAACTGTATCCAGTTATAAGAGGTGTAAAAAACTTACCCCGTGACACAATGAGTCAACGTCGTTGCCTGGTTCCTCACTGTCCCTCATCTGGCACCAGCACATTGATGTTCGGTTTGCCTCGTGACGACGTACGTCGTCACCTGTGGCTTCGCAAACTCGGCGTTGCCGATGTGCCGAAATCGACGAACCCGGATGGTGACGGAGGAAACAGTTTGTTCGTCTGCAAACGCCATTTCGATGACGAACAAATATACAAGGCCGGACACCGGGTTCTGCTTCGTCCGAACGCTGTTCCCCAACAGATCGAGTAAGCAGCGCATAAATTTTAACGATTCTTCAACAGTATTTTACTGACGTGTCCCCAGAAAG